CCAGTCTTTGTTACCGGATTTCTTTTTAAAAAGCTGTTTTTCTTCAGCTGCTCTTCACAAAGTCTTGTTTCTAACTGTCTGAATGTGTGTTTGCAGCTGGAAGGGGGTAACTCTTTAAAAATGACCTCCTGGCATTATTCTCTGTCAGGGATTTCTGCGTGGGTTTTGCTGACTGTCATCACTGATAGTTCAGTTTCTTTCCAGGTAGAGAAAAAGTGAAGGGGATCTTTATTCTTAATTAATAGTCAGATTGAGAATTCATTCATCCCTCTTGCTGCGGTTGCATCGGCAGGTTCAGTTGGTTTTCGGTTCTTAATGAAAACAAACAAATTATATTGTTGGGGAGTTTTTTTTCCCCATCGCTATTAACAAACGGCCACCTGACTGCAATCATCCCCCTTCAGAGACGGGGTAATGAGGGCTCTGAGAGGACAGGACTTCAGTTTTCATTACGAGGTACGTCCTGCTGCTCTGTGAAGTATCATCGTCCTTAGAATGTACGTTCTGGATAACTTTTTAAATGACACAACTTTGGTATAAAATGCTCAGCTTTAGATTTAATAACGGGGGTTGCATAGTGCCCGTTGGGCTTGAATCTGTATTCCCCGTGACCTCCTGATGCTGTTCCATTAATTTCAGTGGAGCTATTACAGATGCCTTTTTACACTGATGGGAAGAGCTTGTGTTTTTCCAGTGGAATAAATGTGCCTGTTTTGTGTTAGCATTCTTCTAAGGAGTCCTTTTCCCATCTTTTGCATAAAAGTAGGGAAGAAGTGCAACTGGCTGAAAGAAAAATGTGCTGCGATGACCATTGTCTTTTAAAGGAAAATGAGCTTCTTTCTAATTCAATAATTTGTCCTTCAGGCCCTTTCGGAACAGTAAAATTTGCTTCATTTCTAATTTTAGCCAGAGTGAGCTTTTATAGGTATTAGCTCTTAAGGCAGTCAGTGGCTTCTGCATAAATGACTGAGGATGGATCACGTGAGGACAGGCTGGACCAAACACACCTCCTGAAGAAGCTCATCTTACCAGCTTTGCCAGCTAGAATCAGTGATACAGTCAGTCTTTCCTTATTTTTCCTAAAGAAAAAAAAGAGGGGAAAAAGACAGGAAATTAAAACCCAACCTTAAATTGTCTCTCTTCCTTCCCCTACAAAGCCCCAGCTTAACACAAGGCTAATCATAGTAGGATTGTAGCCATTTCTTATTTTCACTAGCAAAAATATGTCAGTTTTCCCCCATGTTTGTGAGCTTGTGTTGCTTCTTGTTCCTTCAAAAAGTTGCTGACAGACTTTTATGAAACAGCAGAAAAACAGGCTCAGGATGGCTTGGGCAGCAGACTGCTGTTTTCCTGGCCCTGCCTCCAGATCCCAGAAACAGTTCATCTGTGTGAGTACCCTCAGGCTCTGAAGACATTGTCACCCCGACACTCTCTTCAATTACAGTGTCAGTGATTAGGTTTTACTTAAAATATGCTCTCAGTGGAGAGAAGTAACATGGTTTAGTCTTTGTCCTGCTTTTGATCTCAATTCAATGGAGAATAACACATGAAACGGTAAATACAGGTCTAGATTTTCCTTTTAAAGTAAGGAGGTTGTGTGCAGCGTCAGTGATGGTGTGTGCTCCTGGTCTGGGTTTATTAATTAAATGAGATTGCTCATTTTGTTCACGTCATCATCTGATGTGATAAGAACTTAGCTAAAAATTTGGTGAAGGTCGCAGTGATGGAGCACTACTGATCAGCTTGTGATGTCACACGATGCCTTCGCTGTTGAAGCAGGAGCCCTTAATTTTTCAGCTATCTGTGCAAGGGTTTGGACTGCCAGATATCATCAAGAAAACCTCCTGTATCAGCTGTTTCAAAGTGAACCATTGACAGAAAACACGCAGTGAAGGAAGTTCTGTTTATTTATCCTGAACTTCCTGTTACAAGTGGTGCAGGTGAACTACAAAGGGAGTTCTGTCCTATTTTCTTGGATTTCTTAGAAACAGGGATAAAGGGAGTACCTGTTCTTTCTGTATTACTGGTTTAGGTTGCTTTTAAGGTGAAGTCTGTTTTGTCTTGCAGTTCAGGAAGAGTCAGTAAAAGTGCATTCCCTCCCACCCCCTCCCTTGGAAAATTTGTAAGCAGTTTTTACAAAATTAATCTGCATTGTAATGGTTTTTACCACCATTTTACCACTCTCATTCTTGTGATACAGCTGGACTACTGTAGATAACACGATCAAATCAGAAGAGCCTTTTTTGCTCTCTTCTGATCTGTAGAGATTTAAAGTAAACATGGATTTTATGACAGTATTCTAATATTTTGATGTTACCTGTCTAGCAAGTTAATTTTGTACAAATAATGTCACTGTTACTACACGTGATTTCAGTACTACACATTTTCTGCCTTGCACATGTGCAGCAAAACACCTTGCACTTTATCTTTCAGTTCCTCCAATGCCAGTAAACTTTGGCTTGGAAAATTCTTTGACTAGAAATTTGAAACTAATGCTGTTTTTAAAACCAAGATTTGTTTATTGGTGCTCAGAACCTCTGATATGGGGGGAAAAAAAAAAGTGCTTATTGTACTCTGTTCAGCAGAAAAGCAAAGCATCTGTCTTCTTTAGTGCAATGCACTGTAGCTTTTCATTTCAGTGCCAGTTAGAATGGGTGTACTGGTATGCCAGCACAGCTTACATGCTCTAGATCAGTTTGTTGTGCAATAGAGAGCTGTTGGAGAACATTATATTTTATTTAGCTTTGCATAGTAATTTTATTGGTGTATATCTGGAATTAAATGTTTTTCTTATTTATTCATGGAACATGTGGCTGCTTCTCTCAGTCCTTGGTAGTGGAGAATTCTGCAAGTTTATTACTGTTTCTGGTCACGTTGGGCTTAGGTACCAGAGTGGGATGGTGGTGATACTGTTTTTGTTTTTACAGTAGCAGAATTGAACGTCTTACAAGACAGCGATGGCTTTTTCTCTAGAATTTGAATATGGAGGCCACAGGGACAGATGAAGTAGAAAAGATAAAATCAAAGTTTATGTCTGCATGGCACAACATGAAATACAGTAAGTGAAACAGTGTGTGGTAAAATCCTCTCTGCGTTGAAATGAGTGGGATGTTTCGTGTTGACATGAATTCCAGGATCAAGGTTCAGAAAATTAACTAATATTAATAATAAAAATAAAATATGGCCCTTGAAACCATTTTTACTTTGCTGTAATAAACAGAGTAAACAAACTTGTTTACCTTTTCATTTTTCAAATAAATTTGCATAATTTCTTTTAAATTTACTTATTTTGAAAACAGTCAATACATTATGTAAATGACACTCGATTTGCATAGACTTTTAAACAGGCATAATATGGAATTATCTGCCCAAAGATATTTTTAATTTTTATATGTACTTTTCTGGAAAAAAATAGGATGGTGTGTGAAATACAAACTCCACTGAAGATTCTACTTCACACACTTGAGTAAAATACTTTTCCATGGCTGAACATCAGTAATTTGTTTATAAGCAACCAGATTTTCAAGCGTGCCCTTTACTAATCCATTCTTAACCTTAATTTTTCTACTTTCCCTCTAGGACTAAGACTGCTCAGATTTACCACCAGGTTTCTGATAAGTGTTGTTGATTCTCATAACTTGGAGATGTCTGGCAAGGCAAAAAGATACTTTTCTTCTGCTTTCTTTAAGGCTACCACGTGGCTGAGGGGGAATTGTAGTTGTTACTCCCTATGTGTGATGAGAAAAGTTTGAGAATATCTGTGGACTTGGGCTATAAAACACAGTTGGAAACCTGACAGAATCAGGCTATGCAATAATGAATTCACAATAGAGACAAAGCAATTTAAGCTCAGCTTTAGCATCTCTGTATCCTCACCATTTCTGTCAGTAGTCCCATTGGATTAACATTCAAACATTCGTAGATGGGCAACGTCGTTACTTTTAAACCAGAACTCTGATCTGTGTTTTGTAGAACTATTAAACTTTTTGTTATTTATGAAAGCAAAACCCAATTCCCCTACACTTTCTCTATATTCCCCTTTCACACCTAACCTTTGACTTCACCAGATGCTATTAGAAATTCCTTTTTGGAATACTTTAGTCACAAATTTGTATATTTTTTTTGTGTCCATTTTAGGTTGGGTGTTGAAAACAAAAACTTACTTCAGTAGAAACTCTCCGGTCTTTCTGCTGGGAAAATGTTACCACTTCAAAACTGATGGTATGTACATAGCACTTAACTCATTCCAATCTTATTAGCTCTGGATACATTTTTAATCTTCTAGAAAGACCCTCATTAACAATTACCAAATTCAATATGGAAATACGAAAAGCTTAGAAAGTACTCGTTTAAATGTCCAACACCACCACTAATGGAACCCATCCTAACCTGCTCTATTCAGATTTTACGCTGAAGTCTTAAATTTCTGTAAAAATTAGTGCTGCAATTTGCACTTTACTTTGTTTACCTATCAGTTTGAGATTTTCTTTCTAAAAAGTCCTGAATGAAACAGTGACAATACCTGTTCAAAGGGTCAGGACACCGACACCTTTGTTATCATTTTCCAACATGCAGTTTTCTAAGAATCTCTCTATTTGCCTGTTTACATTTAAGTGAATTAAGCAGTTGCTTACTTGCAAGTCAACAATTTCATTGGCACAGTAATGTTGGCTGCATTGCTCTTTTTTTTCTTTCTCTGCCCCCTGCACATTTCTGTTTTGTTTGTCTTCCAATTTTCCTTTTCTGTATTTGAAACAATTGTTACTTTTTGCAAATTTGCCCTGTCTTTCTAATAGTTTAGTTGTATTTTTACTTTCCTTCTAATAACAGAAGTGCCATACCGAGTTATGACTTGAATTTGTGCTTTGCCTTCCAGAATCTGGTGAACTCTCTACCGATGGGTCCAATTTTGATAAAATCAACACGGAGATTTCAGGAAATGTTGAGGAGTTTCGTAAAGACTTTATTTCTAGAATATGGCTGACTTACAGAGAGGAGTTTCCTCAGATAAAAGGGTCTGCGTTAACAACAGACTGTGGTTGGGGGTGCACACTGAGGACTGGTCAGATGCTGCTGGCTCAAGGTCTTATGCTTCATTTTCTCGGCAGAGGTAAGTTAGGAGAGATCTCTGGATTTGTCCTGATAAGTTTGGGTGTTCTGTAGAGGGTGTGATGCTCTTTATGTTGCCCAAATCTGAAGCACAAGCTGGTTTTGGTTCTGGACTCCTCCTTAATACTGGAATTGCTTCATTTCATCAGAGCAGTGATCTAGCTGTCCCACTCTTCCATTTCTGAAAAAGGGAATAACAAAGTGTGTCAAAGGAGGATGCTGGAAACTGCACAGAAGCAAAATGTGAAGTAAAATGCCACAAAAACTTGTGATCCCATACCTGGGTACTGCTATCCATGCACGTGTCCACTTCTCAATCTTGCTTGTTTCATGAACTCAAGGTGTGGAGCTGAGTTCCACAGCCCATAGCTGTGGGCTATGGCAAAAGTGATGTTCTTCTATCGGTTTTAAAGATGTACATTATTCAATTCTTCTAGTATTCATACATGGAGTTAATAGAAGGATTCTAATCTAACTTCAATCCATCATTCTTTGTATTGAACCTTTCACTAGTTCATTTCCTCCCTCCCCTCCCATGGACTTAGAGAGGAATTTCCCTCCCTTCCTTACACCTTCTTTCCCCCTTCCTTACACCTTCTTTCCCCCTTCCTTACACCTTCTTTCCCCCTTCCTTACACCTTCTTTCCCCCTTCCTTACACCTTCTTTCCCCCTTCCTTACACCTTCTTTCCCCCTTCCTTACACCTTCTTTCCCCCTTCCTTACACCTTCTTTCCCCCTTCCTTACACCTTCTTTCCCCCTTCCTCACCTTTTTCAATATGCTCCCTCAGTCACAGCTGTTTCAAAGATTTAGCTTTAATAGACTTGGAACACTTTCTGCTTTCAAAGCATAAGTGTGCACGTCCTCCTTGTTCTTCCAAGCTGAGCCATGTTCTGTGTAGAGGTATTTTTGGTTCTCATCATTAACCACCTTTTCTTTTCATCCTCTTCACAATCTTTTTCATAATCTACCACACTGCTCCTTTCAAACAATTAGTCCTGTCTGCTGTCACCACTCTTTGTTGTCAGAATGATCCCAGACATGGGCCTGAAGCCACCCAGGCATGTTAGTTAGAGAGAACACAGTGTGTTGTTTACTCAGCCATTTGTTGGATCCCAGGAATGCTTGAGTAGAAGATAGTTCTGAAAGCCTGTTCTGAAAATATTTTGTACTTACTGTGCAAATATGATGTAGGCTGTGAACATAGTCTCAAACAAACAGCATCACAAAGTCTTTCTTGGCAGTGCCGTGACCAAACTGTCAGATTGGTTTCCTGAATGTGCCTTTTGCTATAGATATTTAAGTCAGAAAACATTCGTTATCCCTTTCAACTAACTGCAAATATCAAAATGTATGAAAATACTTCTGCTGAGAACACAAATCCCTTAAATGTAACTTTTGTTATACATACATTTAAAGAAATAAAATAAAAAAATCTGATCAGAAGACTGGCTATGGGTAGGAATGTGTAACGGCTCATTCTGAAGTAACCCAAACCAAAAAAGCCCCAGGTTTACATCTTTAAAATCCATGGTTACAAAGAATTCCTTGCACTGTCCCCCATGTATCCTAAACTGGAAAGTGATTTGGTGATTCCAGAGTGCTAGTGTTTCTGTGGCAATCCAAATGTGTAGAAAAATGGAATATGTATGGTCTTTCTGGGCTACTTTTCTCATCACCTAGTCTTCTGACAGCTGGTGAATTATCTTTTGAAAAGCTTTTTATGAGGTCTGGGTAGCTTTTGAAACATATTTAAGTGTTTACATGAAGTTTTTCATCGCTGTTTACTCTTTTCCCAGAGATGTTTTCATTATAGTTTAATGGTATTGTTTCTGTTACGAAGCAAAACTTGACTGCAGTTACTAGCTGGAGTACTTACACTTCCACTGCTATGTGGAATGTTCCAGATATTGCTGAATGATGTTGTAAATGAGTTTTTATTTGAAATATTAAGGTCCTGGTAAGTTTAACTTTGAAATGTCTGTGCTTAAGACACTGACTTAAAATAGAAGCTCGCTGCACAGGAGGAGCAGGGCCTGTGATGTTGTTATGTTGAGCTTACTTGTGTGTCTGCCTGGGTCTGCAGTGGAAAATGAACACGAGGTTTCCCTGAGGGGAGTCACTTGTGGTAAGAGGCGCTGATGTGGGGTGGCTGTCACAAGAGTGGGTGATGTGGATTATGGCCATTACCAGCAAAACTTGTGATATTACTGGAGCCATAAGTTTAGTTTAGAATTAAAATACAGTCGCTGCTGTGCTGCCTCTTTGTTTCTCAAAGACTTGCACATGGATGCTGCAGTGGGAATTGGGAGGAGGGCTGCAGCTCTTGCTCCCTGTTAGTTTGCAAAGGTTCCTCTCACTGCTGTAATGGCAGGTTTCTGAACCTCCAGGAGCTCACCCACATCTGGCTCACTGAGCAGAAGCACCCCATCCCTCTCTAGGGTTTGTAGGGCATGGGGCACCTCTCCCTCTTGCCTTCTGAAATGTTCTTTCTAGACCTCCAGGGTACGTTCTGCTCTGACAGTGCACTCATTGTGTTTCAGAGGTTTCCTCACGTGCTCTGTGTTGCAAGTAGTTGTTTGAACTTGTGGGAGAGACTCTTGGTCATCTGACAAGGCTTTGCTGAGCCACCCTTGTGCTCCAGGAGGAACGCTGCTTGTGGGATGCGTTGTTAGAGAAACCTTTCACTGGAAATGCAGACTGTAGATACTGTGCTGAATAATATTTCAAGAGATTTGTTTTGTAATCTAGATAAAGAATTCACAATTTTAGTGAATAAAGAAATCTTATCTGTTTTTCTGATCTTTGATGTTTTGGCAGGAGGAAGTGTTTGTTTTTACATAAATAATTCCTCAGGTTTGTCTATTTTTTTTAAATAATGTGACAAACCAGAAGAATTTAAAAAAACCTTTGGAACTTCTTGTTTGACTTGGAGAAAACCTTTTAGATGGTATTTAGTAGCTAATTTTCATATTTTTAATACATAAGATAGTTCTAACCTGTGCCTTGTGTATCTTAACTGACTGGGATCACAGAATCTGACCCACTATCTCAGATAACATGAATTGCTAACAAAGGTGCTGCCTGTAGTATTTTGTTTCACTTCTTGTTTAGCAGAAAATAAAAGCAAATCATACTCCACTTGAATTCTTTGTTTACATTTTAACACTGACATTTGCATCTTGGTATGTAAAATACATATTACTGATTTGGGGAACACAGGGGAGAGATGTGCTTTGCTAATTAGACTAAAAAGTTAATGTTAAGCCTAATATGCATCTTAAAATACCTTGCTGCAGGCTGGGTCTGGCCGGATGCGCTGGACATTGACAGCTCAGACTCTGAATCGTGGACAGCCCATACGGTGAGGAAGCTGACAGCATCGTTCGAAGCATCGCTTACAGCAGAAAGAGAACCCAAGATCCTGTCAAATCATCATCGGGGAACATTAAAGAGAAACTGTGATGACAGTGAAATGAGAAATGAAATTTATCATAGAAAAATAATCTCTTGGTTTGGCGACTCTCCGCTGACAGCTTTTGGCTTACATCAGCTCATAGAGTACGGAAAGAAGTCTGGAAAAATTGCTGGAGACTGGTATGGGCCTGCAGTCGTTGCACACATTTTAAGGTAAAAATACCTTTATTCTTTGTTGTTACTGTGCCTTACTCATTACAGGAGAAGCGTTTCAAAGTGTCATGAGATTACCTCAGCTTAATTGAGCATCTAACTGTTCATTATTGGCTTTGTAAAATGCCCGTATTAGTAGCAATTCTAGAGATTTTTCAGAGGCAGGAAGGGAAATAGAGTATTTTCCAGTATTTCAGGAAAAAACAACGATCCAGTTTTCCTGTACTTTGGGCACTAGAAGTCCCAAGTATCCCTCCCACACCTGGGCTTTTAAGTAGAGCTGGATTTAATGAAATATTCTAAAAAGTAACCACTCTTTCAACCTTGGAACATGCATAACATTATAGATTTTTTTTTTTATACTGTAACCTGGGGGCTGTAATGTACTGATAGTGTAATGAAATGTCAGAGCTAAAATTGATGTTTTCAGCATTTCTTTGCACACATCAAATTCTTGTGAAACTGTAAATGTATGGGACTATTAATATTATAATTATATCACAGTAAAAGTAAAGGGTCTGTGACATTCAGTGTGGTTAAAAAAAAAAAGTCTAAAGTCAAATTTCTCCATACTATGTGCCTTTATGTGCCATTGCTTTGAATAGTACCAATTTGTTTGGTTTGGTTTGGGTTTTTTTATAGCTTTATATACTTGTGTTCTTAGTGGATTCCAGTTTACCTATGAACTGGATCACTAATAAGTCATTTAAGCAGCAGAAGCCAAAGTTCACATGTTTATCTATACACATGTGCCTAGAAGAATTTTATATTTAGTATAAAAGTATATTTATCTTAAGTGAACCTGTGCTGCAGTAACCAGGTGCAGACATGCAAAGGCATAGAGCAGTGTCAGGGGTTAGCATTATTTACGTGTTTTCTTCGATTTTTTGATGAAGATAGGAGCTGTCAGACTTCTTTTTGCTTGCTTTAAATTACAGTAGCCTGGTGATGTAATGGGGGTGGATTTGGTGCAGAATTCCATCCAACACAAACCCACCGGTGATTTCCCACGCTGCCAAGGTCTCCTCTCCTAGATCTCCTTTCTCTCAGAGCAGTGCTGACAGTGTGTAGCTCTCTCCTAACATGAGAACAACTGTATTAAACTGTTCTTCAAAACAGATTGTGAAACAGAGGGACAGTGACCCTTTAATGCAAACGGGTGTCGAAGTCAAAGGCTAATCCTCTATTTGCAACAGTTTAATTTCTTTACAGATGTTGTCCTTGATTGATGATCACGCTTCAGACTATTGACATCTATTTTCCTTTTAGTTTTTAGGTCCATTACTCTTACTCTTTTGAGGATAGCTGAATATTGCAATTATCTTTCAAAAGTTTTGGTGAAACCTCACAGCTTTTTGTGTCCAAGCCTTTATTCCATAGACATGAGGTGCTAATCTGTGGCTAGTTACGTGAATAGAGGTCAACTAAAGAGATCTCTCGGGTTGAAAATAATATTTTTGTCAACAAATTTAACCTTTATTATCCCAATACACATGACAGAAAATTGTTAAAAAGAAATCAGGTAGTGAATATGAATTTCATTGTAAATTAATCTGTGTCTTTGGGCATTTTTCTGTGGTTTTCATTGTTTCTTCTAAATAGTCAGATATTGTCATCTTTGCTGGGGAAAACTATGTTGCCATATACACTGGATTTTGGTATCCAGTGTTTACAAACAAACCCCACCCTCCCATCTGTATTTATCATGAATGGAAGGTGCCTTGAATTAAAAAAAAAAAAAAAGTAAAACAAAACTAAAAAACTAAACCACAACCCCCCCCAAACCAACAGCAAAAAAAATCCTGTTTCTAAAAATCAAATAATTTATGTTGATTTACTGTAAATTTCTTTAAAATCAGAGATGAGTTAAATAGTTTTGTGTTTGTACTTAGAAAAGCTGTTGAAGAAGCAAGAGACCCTGAGCTACAAGGAGTAACAGTCTATGTTGCTCAGGATTGTACAGGTAAATGTTGTAATTATGGAGATTTTTGCAAACATTTTTAGATGCTTTTTATGCCTTTCAGTAAACACTTAACAATAGAGCTCTAAAGGAAAAAAACTAAACTCAAAAATGGATCCACAAAATTGAGATTATGTAGACAAAGAGGTTCTTGATACATGCAGATGTTTGTTCTCTCTGAGAATCAGACATCACAGCTTGACAGCTTTGTACATGGCTTGTTTGGTGTCTTAGTGTGCAAAATAGTGGAATTCCAAATCCAGGAAGAGAATTTCTCCTTACAATCTGCCTGTTGTAACTTCTTATTTTGGTTTTAAATCAGTTAATAATCTGTTCTGTACTTGCTTAAGTGTTGTTTTAGCAATAAGCTAGTAAGAACTTCCATATCTTACTAAAAAATAACACCAAAAAAGCAACCAAACAACTGAAAAATAGAATCATAGAATGGTTTGGGTTAGAAGGGACCTCAAAGCTCATCCAGTCCCAACCCCCCTGCCATCAGCAGGGACACCTTCCACTAGACCAGGTTGCTCAAAGCCTCATCCATCCTGGCCTTCAACACTTCCAGGGAGGAGCAGCCACAGCTTCCTTGGGCAATACTTCATTTAGCTTTGTTAGTTACATTTTATTTGTCTTTTGCATCTCTTTTACCCATTTTTCTAGGGGGGACACACACCAAACCACTGCACCAGTCTCTTAGAATAGCAAGAAGTCATTTTCACTTGGAGTTCAAAGATGTGAGCAGGATCCTGAACCAGAGCCTGTGGTAACCTTTCTTCTGCTCCAACATGGCGTTTTAAATAATCACAGGAGGGGAAGCTCAGAGCTCTGGATGTTCAGAAGCAGAAAATTATGACAAGATAAACTAAATGTGTGGTGAAACTTCACACTAATGACAATAGTCTTTCAAATCTAAGCACAGTGTGTTGGGTTAACAGCCATGTTTAGCTGCTGGAAATGTTAGTTCTGTCCCTGCTGACGGCAGGGGGTTTGGAACTGGATGATCTTTAAGGTCCCTTCCAACCCAAACCATTCTATGATTCTATAACCCATCTCAGGACAGGACAGACGAGCCTGACATCCCTGGGTAATCAATCAAACTGGTTTTAAAGAGACACTGTTTAATCATACACTATGAACCAGTTTCACCTGACTTCCAAGTGACAGTGGAAACTTAAAATTCTATTAATTTGCCACTACTTTGTTTTGGTGACAATTTTCACATCCCTCTTAGTTTGGAGGGAATAAGCACTAACACTAAATTATTTTTTTCCCTCATTTTCAGTGTCTGTTTCATTAACTTTAGACAGTGAACTTGAGTATTTATTAAAATCAATTTATATCTTTTTTTCCTTTAACATGTAGATGTTTCTGTTGCTTGTAGGCTTTCAAGTTTTCAATTATTCCTTTTAGAATATGTTTATATAAAGTGAATATTTATCAGCCTTCTCCTAACCTACCCCTTCTGCATTTCCTTGGCCATATATCTCAGCAGCAGCAGGTTACCATTCTACAAAATACTGCTGAAAACAAGGAGGCATAACACTGTTTTTCATCAGAGTCACTCAGGAGTTACATTTCAGGAGGACAGTAAAATTGTGAAGGACTGCAGTTTTAATTTGTAAAACTTAAGTGATGACATGTTGTAGGTGTCTCTTTGTAAAAGCCAGCAGATGTATTTTTAATATTAATATTTTCATGTGTCTCCTCTCAGTCTACAGTTCAGATGTTATTGACAGACAGTGTTCTTTTATGGATTCTGGAAAAGCAGCCACAAAAGCTGTAATTATATTAGTTCCTGTGAGACTCGGTGGAGAGAGAACGAACATGGACTACTTAGAGTTTGTAAAGGTATGAAATGAGAGTTCAGTCATTTTTCAAACTGTAGCACTAGGTGATATGAAAAGCGACTTCACGATGGTAATCTTCTACCTATTAAATGTGTGGTGGTGATTTTACAGTTGAAGGTTGTAAAGTTTGACTTTACAGATTTTAAATTTCCCTATTACAAGATCAGACATAATTGCAGAACGTCTGATGTCCCTTGGTACAGCAGTGATAACTGTCCTGCTCCTAAAGTGACTACCTGGAAAGACATTAATGCAGTGGCTGAAATTACAAATGGTAATTTAGTTACATATGCTATTAGAGTTGGGCTATATTAAGTATCAGTCAGCATTTTAAAATATAAATATACCAAATTCCTTATTCTGTTTCTTAATTTCTTAAATGTCAAATGGTTTAAAGTCATTGCTTGTCTGTTCTTCACCATTTGCTTTTGTCTTTTTCTTCCCCTTAAGAGAAGGGATAGAGGGTTTTTTTTTTAATATCTTTAGTCACTACTTCAGGTCTTTTTTCACTATCTGGACATCAGGGTGAATGTTTCTAAGGACAGTGATGCAGGAGTAGCAAGCCATTACCACAAAGAAAAATGAACTGGAAAAAAGCAAAACTCAAGGAGAAAGAAGAAGGGAGGAAAGTCTATGCTGTCCTTTTTTTTTTCAGCAGAAGATCTGTTGAAAATGGTGCTAACACCTGAAATGTACTGTAATTCTACCTCTTGAGCACAGGAATACTTCTCTTAGTGGAGAGATTGTTCTCTTAGCCCTGCTGCTTTATAATTTGCCATGCTGTTGTTTACCTGTCTTTAAATTCTTGTTTTATTTTTTAAAATACCACAATGTAGTAGCATGAACAAAATCAAGAGTCTGTTACATCTCTTTTCTTTTTTCTTTTTTTTTGTGACTGACTCTATCTGTAAAATTTTGGGAAAACCTATTTATTTGTCTTTTAAGGGCACAGGGAGACAAGAATAATGAAGCTTTATTTAAGTGGGGAACTATTAAATTGTTTTTCTTTCCTGATTCTTTTCCTTGTATTTTCAGACAGTTGGCTTTGGAAACGTTTTAGTTCTTTTCTGATTAATTCTGACACAGCTAAGATAAGCCTGTGGTTGCAGCAATCTTACTTTACTTTCTATGTTAACTGCAAAAAAACCTTTGACTCAGTGGGGTTTGTGGGAACACATGGAGCCTTTGTGTGTAAGCTAACAAACAGTTGCTTCTGCAACTTTCATACGGCTTTCTCGGCGAAAGAAAAGTGACTCCAGCTCTTTAATACGGGCTTTTCTCACTGACACATTTCTATGGCTAGTTTTACCCTGCAGAGCCTTTCTCAGTTTAACTCTCAAAAACACTGTTTGCCAGAGTAAAATATATTTGTGTGGCACCAGGTTTGACAGCACAGTGATGTTAGCAAAGCTCGCCTGGCACGACTGGCCCTGCCGAGGTGATTGCTGCTGCTCACTTACCCAGCCTGCTCCTGCCTTTTGCAGGCCCTTGTAAGGGAGACTGTGATAAGAGGGCTTTCAATTGCACATATCAGTCACTCCACTTGGAGTCTGGATTTAAGTTAAAAATGCAGATTTTAGAATCTAGTACAAGAGGTAATTTTTACAAAGGATTTTATATTTATGGATGAAAATTGATAAATTTTTTATAATTCACTTTTATAAGAAAATTCCCATAGATTAAACAGTTATTCATTACTTGAAGTAGCTTTATTCCCTTTCTGTTCCACTGGCAGAGGATGTGTCCTCCTTAGCTGTTTCAGCCTGGGCCTCTCATCTGCCTCAATGCTGTGTAACGCTCAGCCATCGAGGAGCATTTCCTACAAAAACCTCCTCATTTGTATTTTAAATAGGCACCATTTTCTCTTAACCTGGGTCAGCCGTGCTGAAGCTGACAGCATGTCAGGGTAGCAGTACAGCAGTTTTTGTTATCTTACATTACTTTATCATTGTCTAAGCCAGGGAAAATTTTCTCTACAGCTTTAGTCTTATTTGTACATGAAATATCAATCATTTTGTTGAGAGAAATTTTCCCTACTTACACGGTGATGATGTAATGGTTGTACCTTTAATGGCTGATCTCTTTGATGAGAGGATATAGATATGACTGCCAGGTAATGCAGATTTCCCTTCAGCTCAACTGGTAGTCTTTTGGACTGCTCTCCCAGTCTGGGCCAGTGTCCAGATTTTTGGACCCAGCACTTGTCTGGTGGCACAAGAAAACCACTGTGATTTATGGACACTTAAAGGCTGTTCAGTTTTCAGAGTATTTAATGGTCTTGGGCTTTGGTTGCATTAGAACCGTTGGGCTCAGCTCTCCGAATTACTCCATGGTGGCAAAATTCAGCTCCTGCTGGGGTGGGTGGGATAAACAATGGAGGGATCAACTGTGTTAAGGCAAGACTCAGTACTCACACAGATCTTAATGAGCCCTGTTAAGAAAGAGAACCTCATGAAAGCAAGAACAGTAGAAATATGTTGAAGGGAGGGAAGGAGGGAAGTCCTTTGGGTACTTCTTTTGATAGAGAAATGGACAAGGTGGGGTTTTTTGTGTCCATGGTCTGTGACTGCATCCAGAGACAGAGGAACATCAGGCAGTTATGCTACTGAGATGTTGTTACCTTGGCAAAATTCTGTGTACATGGGTAAATCCTTCTCCCCAGCACTAGAAGGTATATCCAGAAAATCAACGTTTTCTGATGCAATGAGAAGTCTGCTGGGTTTGTGCGCTAACGCAGACCCACAGATTACAGAACCCAGCTCTTTACAACCTCAATGAACAGAAATACACTGGCAGCACTGGTGTGACCGTGGCCCACACAACTCCTCCTGTCCTTGGTGGCTCCTGGCTGTGCAGTGGCTGGAGGAGTTTACACCTCCAGACTGAAGAGATTCCTGTATTTCACCCCACGTCCCTCTTTAAACCCCCTTGGGTGTGTTTGCAGTGCCTCTCAGAGTTGCTACGTGCTGCTGGCTCCAATTCCTCTACCCTCACAGTCCACATCCAGTAAGATTTATGGGGCTTGTCTGTTGGACCTGTCTCTCTCCTCCTGTATTTTGGGCTGCTGTTTTTAGAGCTGTATCTTGTAATTACTCTTGCTTCAACTGGGCATTTTGCCTTGTGATGTAAAAGTTCCTACTCTAGACAGGCTTCTACGTTGGAATGCAAAAAGAAGAGAGCCTCCAGGGCCACAGAATGGAAATGTTTATGGACTCTGGAAATCTGAAGATTTGTGTCTCTTTTGACTAAGCAACCTGTGATCAACTTGTATGACATTATGTTTGGTGTCCTCCCCAAAAATGAGGTTAATTCTCTCAATTCACGGACATCTCATGAAAAAGGAGGACTTTCTTTGGAATATCTGGTGATGTGTTTTCACTTTGGTCGGTTGTAAGCTTCTAAAAATTGAGTCAAGGCCCAGAAAATCATTAACTCAGTCTTTAAAAAAAAAATTAAATAAATTCTTTTGCCTAAAAATGATAAAGAGCAAAGATTTTAATTGAGTTTAATACTTACTGTGTTTAACACTGTCCTAATTAATTAATGTTCTGCTTTTAGGGAATTTTAAGCCTTGAGTATTGTGTTGGTATTATCGGTGGCAAACCCAAGCAGTCGTATTACTTTGCTGGATTTCAAGGTTAGTGTTTTAATATGTTATGTCTCTTCAATATTTTTCTTTAAGTTAGGAAGTTAATATTGAACCAGTGGGAAATAGCATGATTAAAATAGCAAAATGAGTACCTTATTAATTCATCATATCTACCCAGGTCCAGTCATTTGTCATTTACCCCCTATAGTAATTGGATTCTGTAAAATGTACATTTAATTTCCATTGTTGCATAAACAAGGCATAATTTATCTGTTTCACCAAACTTCAGGAGCCTTTGCTGTTACTGTCTGGCAGTTTTTATTTACATATTTACTTTTTACTAGTTTAAGTGGTGTTAGTTGATGCTGAAATGACAAGCAATATATTCTTCCTGTCAGGATGAAGTAGCACAATACATTTTTCATATGCAAACTCCAGAATATAATTGTGTGTTTGTAAAAGTAATTTTATCACCAAAAATTAAATGACAGTCTCATCACTTTATAAAAATTCTGCTTATACAAGCATATTTGATTATGCAAAAGTTAATCTGTCCTGCAAAAACCTATGCTTCAGTCAATGAATATCAGCCTGGCAAGCAGTTACTTGCGGGCTGCTTTTTTTTTCAGCTGTTCTGCATAGAAATTGGATTGTAAGCAGTGTAATAATAAGGTGTTTTTTGAATTACTTGTCTTCTGTTTTGTCCTTGTAGATGACAGTTTGATTTACATGGATCCTCATTACTGCCAATCTTTTGTAGATGTCAGCATAAAGGATTTCCCTCTTGAGGTAGTATGGATATAGACCTGGCACTGTTTTCTTCCCATATGAATCAAACACTAATTATTTAGAGATGTTCTCGCTAGCTGCATCTTTATGGTTTCACAGTTACATGTTATTTATCAATGTTCTGCCCTTGTTTTAGGCCTATAATCAACAAAAATGACCAGAGGTTAAAAACTCAATATGAGGTTTTATTTTTTACTTCATTAATCTTTGTTTCTTTTTAATAATCAGAAAACCTCAAAAATAAATGATCACTTTGCTTGGGTAATTTTTCATCCAAGAAGATAGACAGTATTTGGAGGTCTTTAAACCCGAGTTATTTGGATTTAGTTTTGTTAGTGTTTCTTTTTGGTCACTTTTTATTTTATCTTAAATTCAAGTTGCAATCAACATAATGGAGAGAATTGCGTAGTATTCAATAGTAGGAGCCTGTTGTCAGGTTGGAACCAGAGTTCCTTTGGGTTTACCTGCTGCTGTTTTATCCAGGAATTTGTATTATTTCTATACTGGAGTAGGTGGTTATAATTTTAAAATGTAACTTCTGCTCCTAACAACTTTGCAGGTGACTTCTTTAGCTTCATAAAAGTGGAAATTTTTGAGGCGTATCAGTGAGGTTTGTGGTCGACTAGATGAATTTTACTCAAGTCTTCTGAACTGTGTCTTTTAACCAGTTTTATTATTATTTTTAATCAAACTATTTTTTAGTTTCCAAAAAACTGGCATGTCTGAAATATAAGTGCTGCATTTGTTTTCTTTCCTCCCCACCCCTTCCTAGGCCATGACTTTCTGGGTGCATCTCGATGTAGTGAATGCATCTTTCCAGGCTCTGCCTAGGTCTTAAAAATCATGCTTGGTTTTTTGGTTTGTTTTTTTGGTTGTTTGGGTTTTTTTACAATAGTGTTTTTCCTTTTCTTCAACCTCTTGCCAAATAACTTGCATTGAAAATAGATAGAGGTTATTAAAGAACTCCATTTACAAGTACCCTGGGAAAACAATTATCAGTTGCAGAAGCTGGTGTTCAATAGCCACACTAGTCACAGTAGAAGTACTCGGTGCCATCACTACAGAATCTCCTTGTTGATCTTGTGTCCAACTTCTATGTGAACCTCCAGCCACCTCGGAGCAATTCTTCATTTGGTGTAGAAACACTCTCTGGGTGCATCCTCTGCTTAGGACAGCATCACCTGCTCTAGGACAGAGATGCTTATTAGTAGTGGTTCCTCATGCCGCTGCGTTCTGCAAAGTTAAGTACTGCTAAACATGGAAACACAGCTTCAGAAACAACATACTGCATTTAAATGAGGAGGAGGAATATGTATTTAGCTCCACCACCCCTGAAATACTAGTTACTTAATGTAGAATTTTTAGAAGTTTTGCAGTAAAGTCCTGTAAACAGTGGAAGTGCATCATGTACAACTCAAACTCACACCTGAGGAGCTGAGTAGCTGATCTTAAATTGACTGTTTACACTTAGAACGTGAGTCAAGGGGTGTGCAGTGCAGTTCTGTGTCTTCACAGCTTCTGTTCTGTATAGCAGCTAAGAGCTGAGTTAATCTGGGAACAGTGGAGTGAACTGTAATGGTCCTATCTATTGTTGCCATGAAAAGAATTATCTGTTAACATATGTTGATCTCAATACCTTCATCAAAACACTATCAAATAATATTTAGGAGAAGTGTTTATATATATCAAAGGACTCGCACAGGGGTAATGTTAAATCCTAGGGCTGACACAGAACAAACACTACATCTTTTTCAATATTTATGCTTAACAAGATGCTTTAATTAACCTGACATAAACACAGAAGTTAAGATTCTCTATAAAACGAATTTTAAAAAATTCTAAATTCAAGTTCTGACTTTAAAAAAGAACAAAAATGACATAGCAGCAAAAGTTATCAGAAAATATCCTAGACAGAAGTTTTCATTATTTTTAGAGGTATGTTTAGATTTACCCTGTTGAGATATTTGGAAGAAGAGTTGGTGAGAGTCTCAGCTCTACCTCTTTGTATCGTGGCAGCAGCCAGAGATTACAACCAAGATCCTTGCTGCTTTATGCTAATAACTGTAGTAAAATACAGTGCCTTCTCTGAAGATTTTACAGTTTAATTGGGTAAGCCAGACAAAAGGTGGGAAGGGCACCCAGACACAGAGCTGAAGTGACTTCCTTAAGGTCACACCGTAGCTCAGTGGCCAAGCTAGAGAAAATACACATCTTCTTGGTTTCTGTTCCCATGACTAATCCTCCAGATTGTGCTGCAGGCTGGCATTAATATGAATTTCCAAAGAATAATAAGGTTTTAAAATGTAGTTTGAAGGTAAGCAAGCTGCCAGTTTGGCTTGATCGCATCCTAATGCTTTTCTGCAGACGGAAAATATATTGCAATTTAATGCTTAGTGCATTTAATAGTATTATATCTTTGTCCAGAAATGTCAAAAGTAAACAGAAATTGCTTTCTTAGTGTGGATAGTTGCTTGTTAGATTTATCTGTAGGGAGTTATTTTCAAAATTGACAAATTGTCCAGAACAAGTTGGAAATCAATCCACTCTGTATTGGTTTCCAGAATCCATTTGTTTGGAAGAGTAGGGGAAGAAAAAAAAAAAGCCTACCCAGATTCACTCTGTTGTAGAGTGATTTGTGTGGCATTAAGGGGACTGCCCTGAACAGCACAGCTCAGCTGCAGTTACAGGGTAGCTGCTGAAATGTCATGTGTGAGGTCGATTTATGTATTTGATGAGTCAGGAGTGAATATTCAAAATACAAATTCTACATCTAAAATTTGAACAGAATTAGGAGAAAAACAACAGTGACTAAAATCAATCTTGTAGAAATATTAGTTCTCATCTTTGCTTATATTTTCTTTTAGCAGAGGTTTAATAGAAATACTTTTCAGGTTTGTAATCACAAGTAAAGAACAATGCACTGCAATACCTGAGACTGTTACACTGACAGATACTCTCAGATGAGGTAACCAGGGCTGTTGTCTTCTGTGGATTGACCTGTTTGACCAAAAAAAAATTGAAAAAAAAAAAAATACAGTGGTTTTCTGGTGTACAGCCTGCTTGATGTTCACTGTCAGGGTTGCTGTAGCCAGGTTAGACTGTAGCAGTTGTTAATTATGGTGATTAGAGGAGAGGCAGCGGTGTGGGTAGGAAACCTCCCGTGTTGCTCTGTCCTGGTGTTCTGTGGTGTCAGTGATGTCCTGCTCCTGCGGTGAGCTGTGCGCAGCGTACGTGTGAGTGTGAAAGGGAACAGCACAGAATATTCACTGGAGAATATTGATCACTGGGGGGAAGTTCGTGGAAAATAAAATGTGCATTTCAGCCCAGTGGTATCTCGGTTGTGGCGCAGACGTGGTGTGTTACAGAGACCTGGAGCAGGAGTGCTGGTGATTTAAGAGAGGGAGGATGCTGGGGCAGTCCTGCGTGTTGGAAGCAGAATAAAGAGGACTACCTTTGAGAGACAGGCAGTGGTGATTAAAGAATTACAGTTTAAATTAGACAGTGAGCTTCACCAAAACTACAGTTCCTGTAATAAATAAACACATAGTCAGGGTAGATGGCATATACTTGTTTTTTCTCTCATAAACTGTGAGTGAGGAGTGTGGGGAAGGGGTTTTTTTGTATCTGTTTGTTTTTTAGCACAGCTGCTGATAGTTCACAGCACTGTCAGAGCATCAGCTGTCAAGAAAAGAGATTTCACATTAAGGAAAAAAAACCCCCATGTATGAAGCAGGGCATGTTGTTTGGTTTTTTCCCCTACTTGTGGATTATTGCAATATGGTTTTGCCTTTGTGGTTTTTGTGGGGTTTTTTAACCCATTTCATTTACTAAAGGAAAATGCATGAGGTTGGTTTATTCCATTATGTCTCTTTTATAGCGATTGGGGGAGGGAAAGGGGCAATGGGCGGTGGTGGTACAGCAGTAATTGTAAGATAGTGCAAAAGCTGTTACAAATTCAATTTGCAGAAAAGCATTCACCTCCGCTGCCTTGGGAATATTCATAAAGTACCGCTCGGAGCGGCAGACCCTTGACAGATTTCAAACTAACGTGGTGTTGTGGGCAAGTTTGGTGAATACAGCGTAAACAAGCAGGAGGTTTTATACACATGGAAAAGAGCAGAATTACTTGAATGTTTGAGAGGTGGGGTGGAAGAAATAACTTCCAAAGTGTGTGCTGGGTTTTAATCCAACAGGGGATTGTATGTTAAAGCTGTTGATGGGGGGAAAAAAAAGTCAATGCATTGGTCTGTACCATTCTCAGCCTTAACCATGTATTCTGTGGGTTTTTTTAATCTTGAAACTTGCAGTCATTCCATTGTCCTTCTCCCAAAAAGATGTCATTCAAAAAAATGGATCCGAGCTGCACGATAGGATTTTACTGCAGAACTGTGCAGGACTTTGAGAAGGCTTCTGAAGAAATAACGAAGGTAGGTGTTGAAGTTAAGCACACCGGTTCCTCAGCCAGAACGGCGTGTGTGAACCGCAGATGGGTGAGGGGAGAGAACCGGCTTCGCTCTTCCAGGCATCGTTCTTTCCTTGATATTTATTGCTGCTTATAGAATCAGAAGAAATCTGGATTGTTTTTCCATTTAATCCAATTTTACCACTACGTAAAACCGGGGCAGATTCTGGGAGAGATGGTCTCCATGGGGAGGGGACAGGCGGGTGCGGGTGGCTGGGCTGGCACTGGCGGGCCCACGAGGTGGCACTCGTGAAATGGGAATATTTCTGCAGCCAGCCCTGCCGAGCCACGCAGGGATTGCCCCTGCCGAGGAGGAACTGTGAAAAGGCAAATCCATCCCTCGGGAGGAAGGTTTATTTTTTTTTTAATTGAAGGATTTGATCAAGCCAGAATTGTGTATTATTTCTTGTTAGCGACGTGCTTTTCCTGATGGCACTGAAGTGGAAAGCAGTGTGTTTATGATTTGGTAACAGTGTTTTGAAGTCTACGGGGCAGGTATCACCCAGCAAATCTGTCTGATCCTGTCCTTCCAATTGAAAAACACTGGTATAGGCTCATTTAGGTCCAAATGTAATTGCCTTTTTTTTCCCTTGATTATTACAGCATGTGAGTATATGAAATACAGCATTATTAATATGTTCTATTGGCTGTGGCAGCAAATAACAGTGTTTTGTGATTTTAAAAAATGGTCTATGAAAGGATGCAGCGGCGGCAGAAGATGGTCGTAATGTTAATATTCTAACCACAGTGGTTATCACAACAGCACAAGGAATTAATGTTCATACAGCATTTTGAATCTCTTCTTCAGTGGTATTAGTATGATAGCCAAAAAAGCATTTTTAGACTTAATACTTTATATAATCTTTAGTAGATACTGGTTGATGCTGAAGTTGTTTCTTTGATTCTTACACAGAGAAGTAGAAAATAGATTTAAAGAAGTAGGAGTTCCTAAGCAATGGATATATGGAAATTTTAAATAGTGACATTTCTTTTCTTCCATGTTTTCCTGTTCTATCATGTAGGAGAAAGAATGTAATAAGATAGTTAAAAAAAAAAAATCTAATTACAAAATTGCTTGCATTGGAAATTCTCTTTTTTTCCTTCTTTCAAGTTTGGGATTAAGTACATTTCTTTTTCTGAACACAAGTTGTGAAAGTACTCATGACTGATCTGAGTCTTGGAGCTATTATCCTGCTGTTTTAGATAAAAGTTCTTTAATATTAGTGACATTATTTTAGGTAAATGTATTTCAGGCACAGTAAGTTTGAGAATAGAGGAAAGTCTGGATACAAATACAATATGAGAAACGTTCTGTATCTTTCAATCCTTCCTTCACATCCTTTGTTTTTTCCTGCTCTTCCATTATTTTTCCCTTTGTTCACAATTTGAGTGTGATAACTCTTGAACTAGAAAGCACAGCATACTCCCAGTGTGCCCTGTGTAAGCTAGACTAAAAAATTGAGGTTCTCTCACTGCTTCTGTGGGAAAAAGAGGTGGGAGAAAAGATTTCCCTGTTGTTACTTAAGGATAAACCTCATGAGCCATATAGTCAGTGATAGAGAAGTTAGGGCATTGAAATCAAGGGCCGAAATGGAGTGACTGGTGAAACTCCATCCAAATCACACTGAAGTTGCCCTTTGTTTCTGTCCCTACTAGTTAGGCAGCTATGGTTAAGTAGTTTAATAATACCTGGAATTAATTAGCTGATAGATTAAGGAGACCTGGAAACCATCCAGGCTTGAGAAGGATGGATTTACCAACTGGCTGTAGTCTGACTTGTGTCTTACGCTTCCAGCACAAATATCCAGCACACAAAGCAGTCTCTGGCTTCTCAGCACCACGTGGCAGATCCAAGAGGTCAGCAAGAAGCTCTGGCCTTGCACAGCACCGGGGACAGGTCCGCCTTCTCCTGGCCGCAGCCTCTGCTGCTGCTTTACATTGTCACTTACCTGGTACCAGGCTTGTCTTTCTGCTCATGTGGTGAATTTCCCCATCAAAACCCATGACAACAAATAAATAATCCACTTGGGCTAACAACAAATAAATAATCCACTTGGGCTATAACTGCTTTTGCCTGTTTGTAGCCCAGGGTCTTGGCAGAAAGAAAAAGTTCTCTGAAGAACTGTGCTGATTGAGTATTGAACTTGGATGCAGTTCAGCACAAGGAATTAAATTGTTACAGTGACAACAGTGGCAGCCTAACACTGAAATACTGAAAAATATTGTTGTTTATCAATAAACTTCCCTGTAGAAATCATCACTGGTATCTAAAGAACTTGCAGGTTCTTTAGGTTCAAATTATCTGTAATCACTGAGAGGCAGCTTGATAATAATTTCAGTAATCTTAACCGAGATCCTCTCGACTGTCGCTCAGGCGTTTGCCTGTCTGTCCAGCTTATGTTCTGTATTTAGTGTTTCATCACCTCCCCGAGTACCTGGAGAGAGGTGTGAGAGAAGGAAGTTTCAGGGAGAGTTGAGCACAGACAGCGGCAGTGGATTTGGAGGGACCATCTTTAAGGGTGTGATGGTTGGTTGGTCCCCACGCGTTCCCTGAGGTATTGGGATGAGTTTTCTGTTGCAGACTTACAATTGGGAGCTGGCCTAAGTCCACCAAACAGCCTTCACATGGCTATCATTTTTTGTTCCACTAAGCCAGCTTGTATCCACCCCCTAGAGATGGAAGAGTTTGCATCCAGTTATCTCCTTTTCTCAAGAAACAAAGCATTTGTACATTTTACAGACTTTTTTTCTTTGGATTGCTCATTTGTTACTCTTACTTATTACTGTGTGCGTGTCTCTCCTGTATCTCCTTGCACTTTTACCCAGGTTTCACATTACAATAGCCAAATGCAATTAAAATAGACAAGAGTAAAGTGGAAAATTTCAGACCACAGTAAAAGTCAAGGATTTTACTGTGGTCTGAAATTTTGAGGTGGGTGTTTAAAAAGAAGAAAAAAAAAAAATCACACAGTAAAAATCAAGGATTTTAGTGTGTTGAGGTTTTTTCTTCTTTTTAAACACCCACCTCAACCCCTGACTGTCTTTTTAAAAAATAGTTCTTAGTGTTTAAAGATCTATTTAGATTTTTAACTGGTTTAGATTAATTGTTATGAAATTATGTTTAGTGATTTTAGTTCCACACAGTGTATGCCCCTAGGCTAATGTAGTTCTTGTGTGTCACCGCATCACTGTGCTGTTTTTTCAAATCAGCCAAGAAATAAAAAATAAAATCCAAATCAGTGAACAATTAGTGTCCAAAACAGCCCAAAAGGCTGAAATGTCTTTCAGTATTTGGTGGATTTTTATCTGCTATTAAAGGTATTGTGCTGATCTGTTTTGATATTTATTATTCCCCACCACCTGCTCTCTACATGCTCTGTTTTCTGATTTATAAATGTAGATTTTTGGCACCCTAATTACCACAGCCTGTTACTGTCATCAGTCTGGTTTTAGCCATGTGCCCTTCATTGGCTTATTTACATAGGTGTATGTGTTTAAACTTTTAATAAACACATTGATTACTGTACATGCTGATTCTACAATAAAAATATCTCCCTGAGATGCTTAGTTCCTGCAGAATTCATACCTGTGCTTCAGGACAGCATTATGGCCATTAACTATTTTGTACAGTATTTTTTTATCTTCCTACAAGAGCTCCAGCCGCGCTGAAACAAAACAGCACATAGAGGTGATCTGTGAGGAACAAGGTGCAGGGTTAGGCATAAAATCAGCAGCTACCCGAAGAAGAAATGGAAGCAAATGTTTGTTTAATGGGAGAAGGGGAAGTTTAGATTGTGCAATGCTTTTGTTTGAATATGATGATAATAAAAATTAAAAGTGCATTTTTTTACTTTGCAGTCACCATGAGATAAAAATCACTACTTACTGTATTTCTCAACTTCCAATTAACATTTTATCTGGTATCTGTTTTACATTGTAGATGCTGAAATCTTCATCTAAGGAGAAATACCCCTTGTTTACTTTTGTAAAGGGTCATTCTAGAGACTATGACTTTGCTTCCAGTCCACTCCATGAAGAAAATGACCTTTTCTCTGAGGATGAAAAGAAAAGATTAAAAAGATTTAGTACAGAGGAGTTTGTCTTGCTTTAAGGACATTTTACACAAGATTATTGGCAGCTGTCCAGGAGAACACTTGCCTTTTAAAAAATAAAAAAAAAAAGTATGTGTCCTCCTCCCCCAAAGAGGCAAGCTGTGCTGAAACTGGTCTATTTTCATAAAGATGATAATGTTTTATATGTCAATAGTCTTTAAAATGTCATTTATAAATGTACTTACTAATTATTTTTGTTCACTACTAGTTGGCTGAGTTTAATGGCACGTTGTGCTGGTGAGGACAGAAGGTGTTGTTCAGAGCCAGGTACACATGCCTACATCCTGGTTGTGTCCTCTTAAAAACCTCAGCCAGTCCCCAAAGCCTGGCTTGTCACCCTAACATCGTGTCAGTCCAGGACAAGTCCTGAGCAGAGGCTGCCAGATACACACGGGTTTTCTCTGTAGATTTTGAGACCGTGTTACTTCTGTTTGTAAGCAACACCTGAGTTGTGTATCTGAGTGGTGAGGGTAGAACTCTCCTCTGTCTCGCTGCGTGAGCCCAGAGAGTAGTTCCTGCTGTCATGGTGCCGCCCATCCTGAGCAGCACCGCGGGAGACAGGTAAGTGTGATCTGTCAGCAGTAACTGTCAGTTGTGATACTGATAGAATTCCATAGGCTGAAGTGTGAGCTCAGATACTATTTAGCAGTATGATTTTATAAGGGGTTTCTCATTAAGCTTGCTTTGGAACCCTAATATGAGGAGTGAAGATAAAGTATTACCTTTCCCCACAATTTTTAAAGGTTATACTATTAATATTAACTGCAACCAATCAAAGCAGCTAAAGAGAACGATTAGAAGAGAGCGGTGTTTGTTTCCTGTTTCAGCTGCTATAATGTTGAGGCTTCTCTCCTTTTAGTGCAGCTTTTAAATCAAAGCAAATGGGGGAGTGGATGTTAAAAATTCTGGGCTGTGATTTTTTTTAATATATTTTTTTTCTTTTTTTGATACATGTTATTACTGTACAAATGATCACTTGATGGTGTGTGTTCTCAGATTGCAAACAAATGTATATAAATAGTTTAATGTTTTAACAAAGTAAATGCAATATTTAAAATACGTATTAACACTGTTTGGGGAATAAAAAAGGTGTGAAAACAGTAAATGCATGTGCCTTTTATATTAATATTAGATCCTCTAAGAGTGAATATAATCCTGCATCTAAAACAATATTGTAAGGTGTGAATCCTCTGTTTATTTGCAATAAAGGCAAATTTTATTGTTGTGTTGTAAACCAAATGTTAACCTATTCTAAGTGCCGTTCAGGCACAGAAGGCACAAATGGTGCCGATCCAAATAATAAGCATCACGTGTATTCATTAAAGCACCTTTTTTCCTTTTATGAGAAAGAAGTGACTAATAGATTTCAGGCAGAACTAGATCAAGTATTTATGTGTCTCGGGGCTGGAGTGTGCATTTGCATGCGTTAATTGAGTTAATATTCCAAAAAGCCAAAATGAGATTGTGTTCGCTTGTTTTCAGGGGGGAAAAAAAAACCCCACACATCATTTGTCTAAATTAGTAACCTCTGCACTGGTGAATCCTACTAATAATTGGCATAAGATTAATTTTAGATGCTGCATGTATGTGAGGATGTTTGGCTTGATCTTACTTAATACTTTTCATTAATAGCCCAGAAGAGGGAGTAAACAACATATTTATGGAATTTAGATGTCAAAATGAGGAGAATTGTGAATGTCAGTGAGAGGCAGAAAATAGAAGATTCCTGTTTAGTGAAGCAAAATTTAATGTAGCTTTAGCAAAAATAATGCAAAACCGTTGAGTGGTTCCTCTGGGTAACAGCGGATGGGAAATGAGACACGAAGTTGTACTTTGCTTTCACATTTAAAAAAAGGCATCGTTAAAAGCTTCTGTCACAGGGCAGGGGGATATAACTGGTATTAGCTGGTTTCACTGGTGCTCTCCTTTCTGCTTCCCTTTCCATGAGGAAGGCTTTAACTAATTGAAGTGCACAGAAGAACAGGAGAAATGATCAGGAGGTGCAGAGATGGATTTAAGGAAGATTAACCTGACGCTGTGTGGCTTTGTTACTCTATAGCTGAGGAGGGAAGAGCTGCAGTTTACAAACAGCTCATGTATGTGCACTGGAAAGGGGCAGAGGGGCTAGAGGGGAGGGTAACAGGACAGACAGACATCCTTGGGAAAGGGGAACATGCTCAAGGAAAAGCTTCCTGCAAGGGAATCCAAGGCTGTGTCATACTCCAGAAGTGCCGAGAGCCTTACCATGCAAGGCTGTTAAAAACCAGACTGGCCCAAAGGCTGACAAGTGCGGGGTGAAGAGCAATCTGCATTCAGTGGATTCGTTGAATCAATAACATCTTTTCCATTTACAGCTTCTGTTGTTGTAGTAATAATAATAAAATGTAATAAGCTTGAGAGGCTTTAACGCACAGAAGTCTGCAGTGGTTATAATGGAGCTGAATGTGGTGCTGAGTTATGTAAACTGAGAAAAATACACAGCTCTGCAGTGGACTTCTCCCCTGATAATGGGGTGTTCTTGGGTTTTTTAAATGAAAGTTACTGTCCAACACTGTCTCAAGTCATAGAGACAAAGACTGACATCTCTTTTGAAGGACTTTATCCACCCAACCCCACTGCAGACTTCAGCCTTTGTATTGTTACTAGAACAAGCCTGGCGCTGGGGAAGACGCCAAGGGCAGGACTGAGCAGGTACGCTCACAGTTTGGAACAGGCAGGGTGAAAACAGACGGATGTTCTGGAAACACACAATAAAAATGGTAATGACACCACTTGGTGATCGCATTTTGTCATCAGAATAAAACAAAACTGCTTAAGCCTGGTAATTCCACAAGTTTTCCACATCTTGGCCTTTGTACCTCTTGGTCTGCTCCGTCCTGTGGCAGTGCAGGAGCTGGATCTGGGATGGGAACAAAAGGATGAGTTTTCCTCCTTCCTGAACTCCCACTGGCTGAAGTTCAGGTACCTTTAGAAAATCCCAGGTGCACATACACACCAAAGCCAGCTGTTTCTCCAGAAATCTTGTGATGGAAACAGTCAAATGGAAATATAAGAGCTATAGTGTTAAAAATAAAAATGTACATCTACCATCCCAACAGCAAACTTCTCCAGAAGGGTGAAATGGTTTAACTGGTCTCAGTCTTTCTGCAACTTGTTTATAGGAAATGTAACGATTGAAACACCTTTGCTGAGTTTATTTAAAAAAGGAGGGTTGTTTTTTTTTCCCCCTTTTAGACTAAGAGCAAGAAAGACTTCAGTGCTAGAGCAGCAGCTGGTTTTTGGTCCTTTCATCTGTAAGCGAATCCTTGAGTTCACCACAGTGGTGGTTTGTTTTTAGCCTGACAAATAGTTGTTAAAAACTACTGGCTATTTTCAGAAATTTTTTTTTCATCTTTTTCATACAAGAGCAGCACAGACAAGGCCACACGTTGCCCTGGTGCACTCGTGGACAGTGGTGACACAAGTTAAATTACCAAGTTACTAGAAATTAATGTTTTTTGGTAACTACAGGGGACTTTAATTGGAAACCATGTTAATTGCATAGTAATTCTCTTTACCTTGTCTGCATTATCTCCTGAAAACTCTGCAATTAATTTGTGTCATCACTGTTGCTGCTGCTGCCTTCAAACACAAACCAAATGAGCATTAGTTACTCACACACCCAGCAGTGGCCTGTTTTCTTAAAGGACTTCCACAAATCACTGGCTGATGACTTGTTTGCCTGATGGAACCAGACTGCACGTACCACAGAAGGTGGCAAACAGAAGCTCTTGTCAAAGTCTGAACTTTTAATCACCTAATAACCTCTTCTTTTTTTTCTTTTCTGCCATTTCCTTTTTCCTTAGAAGGAACATTTCTTTCTTTCTTTCTTTGTATCTAATACGAGCTTGACACAACCTTAGGACTCTCAATGATTAGCTGGGACTCTGCCCTCCCCTTCTAGAATCAGAATCCCAGAGTTGCCTGGATTGGAAAAGCCCTTGAAGATCATCAAGTCCAACCATGAACTGACAAGTCCCCGACTAACCAATGTCCCTCAGCGCTGTGTCTACACAACTCTTCAATCCCTCCAGGGATGGGGACTCCACCACTGCCCTGGGCAACCCCTTCCAATGCCTCAGAACCCTTGCAGCAAAGAAATTCTTCCTCACATCCAATCTGAACCTCCCCTGGGGCAACTGGAGCCCATTTCCTCTTGTCCTGTCCCTTGGGCCTTGGTTGAACAGACCCACCCCCACCTCTCTCCACCCTCCTCCAAGGGACTTGCACAGAGCCACAAGGTCTCCCCTCAGCCTCCTTTTCTCCAGGCTCAACACCCCCAGTTCCCTCAGCCACAAGGGAACTCAGCACACTTGTGCTCCAGACCCTTCCCCAGCTCCGTTGCCCTTCTCTGGACACGCACCAGCACCTAACTCACAAACTGGAAATTTCTACAGTGGTCGTTTAGGAGAGGGGGTTATTTACATGTTGCTAGTGATAACTGACCTCAGAGAGAAACAGGGTCTGGAGAACAGCAGACCAACTTCTTGAACACCTGGAAAGGGAAAGATTACTCAAGATCATTAGTAAGTCAGTGCCCATTTGTGGCTACCAGCAGAACTGCTTGTTTGTGCCATCTCTCTTTTGAAGACTTGGGTTTCCTCTTGCCAGGCCCTAGTGCTTCAGCAGAGCTGTAGAGCTGAGGCCACTCTAATTTGTTCCTGAAGGTCTCCAAGCAGCTCCACTCCTGGGAGAACAGCTAGGTGGGAGAGGTGGGAGCGCCCCAAGCACATCTCCTTTGGCAGTTACTTTTTTCCCCACAGTGTTAACGAGACACCCCTAAATAACAAGAACATCAGCAGGCAGCTGTAATAACTACATAAAGGCAGCTGCTGTACTTCCTTACGGGTGCGGTGGCAACTGGTGTGGAGGTGACACCAGGCATCCCCTCACCTGATTTTTTAAAGCCAACACTGGCTCCATGTTCTGAACAAACCCTGCTCTTCCTGGTTCCTGTACAAGGCAAGACTGAATCTGGATCTGTCTGTGGTGAGTTCACCAGCTCCCAGAGGAGTCTACATGACCTTGCACTTTTTAAGTCTTGTGGCCAATACACCTGCCTGACATTTAGCACGGTGACATGCTCCTTAAAGCAGTAACAGCAAACCAGTGGCTGCTCTACACACATTAACTGCCACTTAAACATGAGGTGAATTTATGGGATTTCATGCAACTGGCATGAAAATGCAGTTGGAAAATAGGGAGTGTGGATG